AGGAAAAGCATTAGCTGATGCACTTTGCAAGAATTCCACTCTGACTTCCTTGGATCTTGGTCAGAATTATCTTGGATCATACGGAGGAAAAGCACTAGCTGATGCACTTTGTAAGAACACCACGCTTACCTTTTTGAGTCTTAGTATGAGTGATTTTGGATCAGAAGAAGGAAAAGCATTAGCTGATGCGCTTTGCAAGAACATCACGCTGACTTCTTTGAATCTTAATTATAATAATCTTGGATTAAAAGGAGGAAAAGCATTAGCTGATGCACTTTGCAAGAATTCCACTCTGACTTCCTTGGATCTTGGTCAGAATTATCTTGGATTATATGGAGGAAAAGCATTAGCTGATTCACTTTGTAAGAACACCACGCTTACCTCTTTGAATCTTAGTCATAATAATCTTGGATCAGAAGGAGGAAAAGCATTAGCTGATGCACTTTGCAAGAACATCACGCTGACTTCTTTAAATCTTGACTCAAATGAATTAAGATCGGTGGAAGGAAAAGCATTAGCGGATGCACTTTGCAAAAATAATACGCTAATTCATTTGAATCTTTGTCATAATAATCTTGGACCAGGAGGAGGAAACGCATTAGCTAATGCACTTTGCAAGAACACCGCGCTGACCTCTTTGAATCTTAGTTACAATAATCTTGGATCAGAAGGAGGTAAAGCATTAGAAGATTCACTTTGTAAGAACACCACATTAACTTCTTTGATAATTTATTTTGAAGATAGAAATTTTAAATTAAAGCCAAACAATAAAAGAATAGAAATAATACAATAACAAACTGAACATGACAAATAGTTCATCATACAATTAAATATAAATACAGAAAAAATTATAACAATGCATAATAAATAAATCTAATCTTTCTGTCATTTGATAAAAAGTTCATGTATTACTTGAATTTAGCAAAAATTTACATTTACATTGATATTGGTGATGGTAACGCTCACGAATTTATTATCAAAAATACTGGTTTTCAACCTATAATTCACAAAATGAACTTTGGAATTTAAGAATTAAGTCATCCAAAAATTAATAATGGATAATGATAATGTTTAACTTTATACTAAACGTCATAGATGTTTTTACGCATTTAAGTAATGTAAGCATCTAGATCATAATTACTAATTTTTTAAGGTTGCCTGCCGTAATAGATTTGATAGAGTTGTAAAGTTGCAACCTTTTGACTTAAAGTTGTAATTTTTTGACGTAAAGAGTGTAATAGCAGTAATAGCTAAAATAGTTGTAATGGGTGTAATAATTGTAATGGGTGTAATGGTCGTAATGGGTGTAATGGTCGTAATGTCGTAATGGGTGTAATGGTCGTAATGGATGTAATGGTTTTAATTGGTGTAATGGTCATGACTAATAAGTATTTGCTCAACGCAGTTGCACTAAATTAGGAAGAATACACAGTCGATATATCAGCAGTTTTAGAGTTGTAGCAATGCTTAATAATTATTTATTTCTCATTCACATACGTATGTACGTACGTACGTACATACTTGATCCTTTATTAGTGTTCCATATCAGTCTAATTACAGGTATAGCAATAGTAAATTGTTGACCAGGTTTTTTATAAAAATTCAAACCCGATATCTCTTGAATGTATAATCATGTAAAAATAAAGTTATACTTGCCAAAGCCCTCTTAACGTGTTCTTTAAATGGTTTCTTTTTTATTAATAATCGTAACACAATAGAATCCAATAGTAACATGTGATTATAAGTAATTTGAACAAATCGAAGGTTACCTAAATAAGTAATCCTTTAAAATATTGGCTTGTTCATGTGTATGATGCATCTAAAGTAGCTACGTACTTTATATATCTAAAGTATCGCTTAGCTAAAATTACGATTTAATGTATGCATAAAGATCTAACTTCAAGGGCTTAGTCAGGTGCTACTTTAAATATATAAGGTATGTACATTCGTACGTATGTACGTAGCTACTTTAGAAAGATAGCTACTTCAGAAGCAACATGTATATCATGAATCAATTTCTTGTTTGGTTATATATAGATATGTATGTGTATAGTACCTAATATGTACATATGTAAACAATATTGATCTTAAACGATAATAAGCATATATTGTAAGACTTATAATTTGGATATTTATAATATGAATATTTCATATAGCATAATAGTAAAGCGAAAGTAAGATAAAAAAAATGTATAGTATATATAAGTTTAAAGTAAGGGGTAAAATAAGCTTTTTTTTTTACAAGATCGAGAAGAGAGTTTTAACTATCACTATAATTCAGTAATTGATATACTGTATTTTAATTCATAAGAGAACTATCAATTTTTTTTTATGTTGTATTTAATGTGAATTGTGCTGCAACAATTTCTTCTACATCATACTCACCTTGTTGCATATCATTATCAGACTCAATTTCATTAAAATTCTCACTTTCATGACTATTAGAGGACGTAAAAACTGAAGATTTAAAATCAATAGAAGTTGAAATACTTAAATCTAAATTTTGTTCATTTGGATAAAGGTCTTCAGCAGAATTAAGCATTTCAATTTCATCATTATCGGTTAATGTTTCTTCTTCAAATTCTTTAAAAACAGTTTCGGCAATGTTTGACATTATTTCAGGGGTTATATCTGCAGTTTGAGTGTGGCGAAGTTGTTCTATAGGGTTTGATAAATTAAACCGATAAATTTTTGCTAATTCTTCTAACCGATCTATATTTAATCTAGTTCGATGCTTTCCATAAAACCATTCTAATGCTAAAAACATCCATTCACAAAGTGCTGAGCTTGGTGTAATAGAAAAAAGTTTAATTGCCAAGTGTTGTAAATGGTTAGGCATAGCTTCACATGTATTCTACCACATTAATGGTGTATCATTATCAATTCTATAGAGGGCAGTATAAGGATTTAGATTTTCATTTATATCTACTTTTTGCTCTTTATAAATTCATAATTGTGTTATTAAAATTTCACAACTTTCTTTTGATTTACCCATTTTTTGTCATAATTTTCTAGCATAATTTGCAATAAGAGGAAATGTACCAAACTTTAATCCAATACCTTTATATACCAGATGAAGGAAATATGTAAGTTGATAGATAGGATCATTAAATTCTTCAAACCACTTATTAAATTTTTTAATACATTCATTATGAAATCCTTTATATTTATTAGTAGAAAGATTATGAATTGTTACAGCAATTTTTACTAAATTAATATAACAGTCAGCAAGTATAGAACAATTTGCTTCAACTGCCATAATTGCTTCTTTAATTGGAAGTAAAACATCTGAAAGATATTGCAAATCAATAAAAAAGTCTTGACCACGAAGTATTATTAAAACAACAGAACTAATAATTTCAGAGTAATTTTCTTGAATTTCTTCTAAACAAATTTTAAGTCGCACAATTGAGAAGACACATTCATACATGGTTGTCCATCTTGTTTCTATGTATGTTTTAAGACCACCACCACTAATTTGATATTGTAAAATTTTTTCTTTTAATATAGCTCCAGCTTTATGAGATTTTTTAAAAAAAGTTACTATTTTATTAGCAAGTTGAATTATTCTTTCTGCAAATGTATGCTTAATAATATCTTTACTAATCAGATTAAAATAATGAGCAATGCAATGAATATTTATAATATTTTTATATTTTGAGCAAATTATACTATGTGCAGATGTTATATTAGCTTCATTGTCACTGATTATTGCTGAAATTTTATCTTTACCAATATGATTTATAATTAATTCAATTTGGCTAGCCAGAAATTCTGCTGTATAAGATTAATCTGAATAATTTCCAAGATCATAGAGATATTCTTGTCGTAATGACATCATGATAACAAAATTCCAAATTGATAGCCCATTAGGAGCAGTCCAACCATCCAGACCAATAGTAAGATTGCTTATATATTCTAAAATTTTATCAACTTTGTGAATAACTTTTGCAACTTTTGAATCTAATAAGCATCCTGAAAGAACCTCATGTGATGGAATACTATAACCAGGATTTAGAAGCTTTAAAGCACTTATAAAAAAAGGATTGTTGATAATACGAAAAGGAATACCACACATAACAAAAGCTAATATAATAGCTTCATCAATTAATGATTGCATAGGTGTTTCAATTTTAGTAGAATTATATCAATTAGTTAATCCAGGTTGTTTAGTTTTTTTTTTTGTTTAACTAAAGATGAACTTGCATTTGATATAGGTTTATCAGTTGGAATATCATTCAAATTATTAATTATAATATAATTAAAATAGCGTCGCTACTCTTCAGAAACTTTTTTACAACTATTAGCAAGATGTGCTTACAGGGTTTGTGGTTTAACACGTGAATAAAAGTGATCACAGAATGAACAAGTTCCTTCCCAATGACCATCACCTTTAGGCTGATCTCTTTTAAAAAATTTCCAAACACCTGTTTGTGGATGTCCTAATTTTGAGTTATTAGAATTTCTGGACTCTGTTTCAGTATCAGCATCACTTGAATTGTTAGTTTGATTTTGTTTTTGCTTGGTCATTTAATCAATTTAAAAATTTTTCAATAAATTTATGAGATTTATTGTTATAGCAAAATTAATAGTGTTACAAGATTTTATACTAAAATTTTATTTAATTATGCATTCATCTGTTTACAATATTATTCTATGATGATAAATTGGAAAGCTTACTGGTTTGGTATAATAACTAGCTTTGCTATTAGTTTGAGCTTATATAAGTCAAATGTATAAATTATAAATATATAAGATTTCTGTATACACAAGTTTAAGAATTAATTAGACTTTAATAAAAGGTATTTATCTTATACTACTTTCTACTTTTTTTTTAAAATATGTAAGCTTATATTTTAATTTATATGAAAGAATGTATTCTGATTCTTTTTTTTTTTTTTTTTTAATCTTTGGCAACCTTGCTGGTAATCCTTTATTAAGATTATTATATAAATAAATTATATAATATTGAGCTCAATATCTAGGCCCGACATCTCCCGGCTATCTCGTGGGTGCCCAAAAGCGGTCTGCCGCACTGATTTGAAATTTGTTTCATAATCAGAAGGCTAATACCAGGTTAGCCGCACAAACCATACC